CCCGGCCCATGACCCCCTCCCCTAACCGGCCCTCCATACAATTTCCAAAACCTGATGCGGCCCTCAGGCCAAAAAGTTTGCCCGCCCCGGTATAGATCATTGTTGCAACCAGGGTCCTGTGGTTGCACTAGTTCTTATACAGCGGAATCCAAGTGGGGTGTCTATGGGAAGGTTGTAGTTTGCTGGTTATGATTATGCTGTCTGCATGTGTGTATCATTTTTGTACTCAAAGTTATGAATATTGGCTAAGTACTTATTTGATTCTAAGTAGCTTCAGGGAAGCATTTGGTCGGCTTCTTCAGAAAGGACTATTCTCAGTAATCAAGAAACATTTAACTGACAATGGATTTTGAGAGATGCCAATCCACATCTGAGCTTTCATGGGGACGTTCAAACTAACATGTAAACAATGGTGTCGGCCTGCAAAAAGCTGAATCATTCCTAGACATGTGACTTGCCCAGGAGACTGCACACAGAAGGGCTATGGAAGCAGAGGCAGCCAGGAAAGAAGCTGTTCACAAAAGAGTCATGGAAACCCAGAGGTTAGCCCTGGAGTTAAAAGACAAAGAGATTGAAGCCCAGAGGCTAGCACAGCAAGATGTTCAGCAGGAGAAGGAAAGAGAGAGGGGCGGGTAGCCCTGGAGTTAAAAGACAGAGAAATACAGGCCCAGAAGCATGAATTGACTCTTATGGAGTGGAAGAGATGGAACCCTTCAGCATCTGGCTCCACGTCCCCAAAAATCCACAAATAGGAGTAACTATGTCCGCAGTATGATGAATCCAGTGATATTGCCGAATATTTCATCACCATTGAGAGACTGTGCACCCTCAGTGCAATTTCTGATGTTCAAAAAATGACTATGCTAATGGCAAAATTGACTGGAAGAGCTCTAGACATATTCAACAAGATGTCTATTGATGATGCTTCAAACTATGGTAAATTTAAGGAACTGGTTTTGAAACAGTTTCAGATTACATCTGAAATTTACAGGGTTAAATTCAGGAGTCTTAAGAGGGGATCTGGATTGAGTAATGTGGCTTATGTAAATGAAATGAGAGATTTGTTAGTCAAGTGGGTGAGGGGAAAGGACATTACAAGCTTTGAAGGAATGTGTGATTTGGTTACTCGGGAAGAATTCCTGAATATGTGCAGTGACGATGTAAAACAGTATTTGTGGGACAAAAAGGTGGATGCAGTGGGTGGATTGGCTGAGTTTGCAGACGCTTTCGAGCAGTCACAAGCTGCAATTAAACATAAACCACTGGCAGAGGGGTACATGGTTGGTGGAAAGCAGACTCACCATTTTACCCCTGGGAAAAAGGAGGCTGGGCATTCACTTTCCCATTCCCTTGTTACTGATCCCAAATCCCCTGTACAAGCAAAGAATCCCAAGAAGTGCTACAATTGTAAGTCCACTGAGCACCTGAGGAATAAATGTCCTTGTCTGAGTGGAAACAGGCAGCAGGTAACACATAAAGCTGCTGTTTCTCAGAGCACAGGGGTATCCCAGGCTGCAGCCTCTTTCCACACAAGATTTGTAAAGGTTGCTTTTACACAACCAAGCAGTGAGCATATGCATGCTGTTAAACTTAATGGGAAAGTACTCCAAGGATGGAGGGACACTGGTGCAGAGATTTCTGTGGTCAGAAGGGACCTGATCCATAAAGAAGGATTTGTTGCAACTTGCCAGGGAAAATGGCAGAATTAGAACTGGTAGGAGGTTACAAAGTCCTTGCATCTTTAGCTAAGGTACACATGGAAACTGGTGATTTGCAGGCTGAGCTGACTGTTGCAACAGTGGCACACAATTTTGCACCGTTTCTGCTGGGGAATGATTTATTTGATGTGGCAGAATCTGTCCCAGGGTTGGTTAGCAGCAAGAAGGAATCTTGTGCTGAAAGTCCTGGAGGCGAGGGTGGAGTCACATGGGCTGCTGGGGGAATAGGAGAGTATCTCTTAAATTCATCTGTAGCAGTGAAGAATGCAGCTTTGGGGGGCAGGAATGGTTGTAACCAGTTCCTGTAGCCCTGGGGCTCAAGGCAAGTCGCTGCATGAGGGGCTGGATAGAGCCAGCTCCTGTCCTGTTATCTCCCTGGGGGAGGGGAATGTTCCACCTTGTAACAGAGAGGCCATCCCAGATGCTGACTGCCACGAAGTTGCAAGTCAGCAGGGGACGGGTCCTGCCCTGGGGTGCACAGAGACATGTGCCCGGAAGATGGAAGTTGGGGTCCTGATGACTGCTGTGGTGGGAACGGACCCCAAGGACTCTTGCTAGAAGCAAGTCCAACTTGAGGGAAGGGGGGGGGGGAATTTTGCTGGCCAGTGAAGGGTCTGTCATAGCTGCTAGCTGTGAGCCCACAGCTGGACCAGGGTCACCTTCCCTTTTGAGGGACACAGGAGTGTGGGATCCACAGGGGATTCCAGAGAGGGAAGTCCAGACGGAAGGTGAGGGGGAACTGGAAGGTCTGCGCACCTTTTGTAGGGAGGCTTTTTCCCAGGACAAGGGTGAAAAATCTGCATCTAAAATGCCAGACCCTTCTCCTGTGGATCAGGTTTAAAGGGAAAACTGGGAGTCAGATTTCCTGGAGGGGAGACTCCACCCATCTGGCCTGTTGGGAGCAGAGAGTGGGGGTAACCGAGAGACTCTTACCAATCCAAAGCACTCCATCAAAAAATGTTATTCCTGCTCCCCTTGTTAAAGATAACACGGTCTCTTCAAGGCTGGGGGGAGAAAAACTTTCCATTTGGGAAGCTTCACAAGGGGGTGTGGTCCAACACAAAGAAATTCCAGAGGGAGGGGCTGAGGGCAGGCATGGTTGCAGTGCACCCTTTCCCTGCCAAAGCGTCAAATACATGCCTGAATTGAAAGCCTTCTACAAAGAGGCAGAAGAATCTGTATCAGAACGCCTACCATGGTACACAAAGGAATTGGGAAATGCAGTAGACACTAAACAAGCCAACTTGACACTAAACAAAGCCTGTCCACCAGGATTTACTGTTAATCTTGTGGTCTTTTGCTACTTCATCTATGGGTCAAGACAAGGAAGTTAATATCAGTGGTCAGGGCCGGCTCCAGGTTTTGTACCGCCTCAAGCGGCAAAAAAAAAAAAAAAAAAAAGAAGACCACGGCAGCACAATCGCGCCGCTCCACTCTTCGGTGGCAGTTCAGCGGTGGGTCCTTCATTCCCTCTCTTCCTCTTCAGTGGCACTTCAGTGGCAGCTCAAAGAGGAAGAGAGGGACTGAGGGACTTGCCACCAAATTCCCGCCAAAGACCCAGATGTGTCGCCCCTTGGTATTGGCCGCCCCAAGCACCTGCTTCTTTAGCTGGTGCCTGGAGCCAGCCTTGCCAGTGGTAAACCCTTTAAAGATGTGGAACATACCTGATTTGTGGAAAAAACTTTTGTACATGCTAGGGATGGTGACAAGACAGTCCCACAAGCATGTTGCTTTTCAGCTTATACGTAAACAGGCTGGAAGCTTAGCACAGCAGCAAAAGCATAACAGGCCTACGCTGCTATGTGGCAGGGGAAACTGAGGCACACCACCTCATGGCATTGGTGGCTAAATGCCAAGACTTCTACACAGGGCCGCCCAGAGGATTCAGGGGGCCTGGGGAGCGGAAGGACCCCCTGCCGCCGAATTGCCGCCGAAGACCCGGAGCGGAAGAAGCTCCGGGGTCCCGGGCCCCACGAGAGTTTTCCGGGGGCTCCGGAGCAAGTGAAGGACCCCGCTCCAGGGGCCCCGAAAAACTCTCCTGGGGGACTGGGGCAAATTGCCCCACTTGCCCCCCCCCCGGGCGGCCTTGCTCCTACACTTTAACCGATGTTGCTATCTGCATACTGTTAGCAATACTGCACCCCAACATGTTTTCAGGCACCCAGAGACCAGGAACACATAACTTTGCTAGGACACCTATGAATAACATCATAGGGTTTAAAGGTACTGGAAGGGTGTGTGACTGAAGACAAACGGGGATTTTACATGTACTCCCTCCGCCATGGACAGTGTCCAAGACTGTGGCAGTAAGTTCAGGAGGAGGATATGATGTTATTGACATGAACTGTGAACATATAGATCATTGTTGCAATCAGGGTCCTATGGTTGCACCAGTTCTTATACAGAGGAGGCCAAGTGTGGTGTCTATAGGAAGGTTGTAGTTCGCTGGTTATGATTATGATGTCTAT